CCCGCTTGTCCTGAAGACCAAGGTGGGATCCGGTCCCACCGCTATTAGAAACGCGCCTCCTTCAGCCTCGCGGAGGACACACTTGAGTGGCAAGTGTGAGTGGCAAGGAGCCTGTCCCACAGCCGAGGGACCAGGCCCCGGGGCGGGGGCGGGGTGGGGGGAGCTGGTGCACCCAGCTTGTTTTTGGAAGACGCCTTGACAGCGTCGGAGTCAACTTTGAATGAGTAAGCCGAGTTGTTTCTCCAATGGCATCTTCCTCTGGAAGCCTTGAGAACATTTTCGTGCCTTCTGTCCTCCTCCACCCTCCTTGGTCAGGACAAAGCCAGCTTCCTTCCGAGCTCCCCCTCCCCACACCCTGCCCGGAGCCTCCAAGGGGGTGGGGGGAGAGGTTGTAATTAACCAACCGACTTTGACCCTTGATCTGCAGGCTCCCTGGCACCGCCCCAGGCCTTATAGGAAAGTGGTGAAATGAGGGCGGTGAGGGGCCCTGGAAGGGCTCTTGCCTCAGTTTCTCTCCTGAAGAAATTGGTGGAGACAGTGGGTGTAGTGATGAGATTTCTGTGGCCTGATCTGCCAGGATCCAATGGCCTGTGGCGCTGGGGATGTTTCCCAGCTTAACCTTATCTTAAAGCTGCTTCTACGGCCTCCTTAAAACAAGGGGAAACTGAGACAAAAGGCAAGTGAGCTGCCGGCTCACCTGAGGTGGATTAGGGTGTGGGCCCCGGATGCTGTTTATAGCTTCCTGCCTGCCCAAGTTCCCTGGCGGGGTGGCTGTTCCACCCCCGAAGGGCCGGGAGAGGATCGGAGCCCCCTTCCTCGCTCCTGCCTCCTCCCTCACCTGTGTTTGCATTGCTGCTTAGCTGCTCCTTCGGATCTGATAAACTGAACTTGGACTGTGTGAAAGGTGAGCTGAGCCTTGCAGGAGACTCGGTGTGCTGTTATTTTTAGTTTTATTTCACATCCCAATCAGTAACAGATCATGTGTTGACTTTTACAGAGGACAAAGAAATTCCGTTCGTTCAAATCATTGACTTCCTTGCATCCTGGTGATTTTCCCCACCTTTCCCCACCACGGTCCTGGTGGCCATAGTGGGAGTGGTGGGGGAGGCTTCTCCCCAGGGGCTGTCCCAGCGGGTGATGAGGAAGGCTTCTGGGTGGTCTGTGCCCCCCCCCCCCCGCCCCCGCTGCTGCTGTCCAGGTGAGGGGAGATGTGCAGGCCTCTCACACAGGATGGAGGGGATTGGCCCAGATGTTGGGTAGGGGGTCGAAACCTGGAGGGCACAGGTGACAATCTGCTCTCATTGTCTTGGGGAGGGAGAGTCCTGTGGGGTGAGGCCAAGGCTAGAAGGCAAAGCACTTAATTTAGCCTCTAAAGGCCATGTGGCCCACTGGAGAGTTTTCCCACAGGTTTTGGAAATGAGAAAGGGAATGTTCTCGGGCCACGCTTGGGTGCCTCAGCTGGCTGGAGAGTGGGGAGTGTGTTTTGCGGTGGCCTGTCCCCTGGCTGAGCCATTCCATCACTAGCCGACCATGACCCCAGGAGCCGGCTGGGCACGTTTCCTTCACCCCACCTCACGGACTCAGCACGTCGTGACCAGCTAAGCATTGACCCCATTCCCACTGTGAGAGGCACTGGGGGAGGGGGGGGCTGAAGCTGGGGAAAAGTGAAATACTTGAGGTCTGACCTTCCTGCCAGGGCCCTCTGAGACCCTTAAAGCATCACAGAGCGCCTAGAAGGAGGCACTTTTACCGACTGAAGGCCCAAGGCTCCAGTCTGACCAGCACTCCAGCCTCTCTCCCTGAGACACAATTCTAGAAGTTCCCACCCCCCAGGGCAGAACCTTTCCCTGGCCTCGCTCTCCTTCCAAAGCTGAGGAAAAAGCCCAGAAGTGGGCACATGGGGCTAAAAGGTCACAGTGGAAGGGAGATTAACAGCTACCAATTTGGGTCCAAGAGCTTGGCCTTGAGCCCTTCACTTCCCCCGCCCCCAGCGTTTCTCCTTTGTAGTGTCAGTATTAATGTGCTGGGACTAACGCTGGTTTCTTGAGGAGAAGCCCAAGCACCTGTACCCAGGGCCCGAATTCCATGTCTTGCACTGAAGGGGATGCTGGGGAAACCCCGTACTCCAAGCCCCTGCTGAGGAACAACGAAAAGCCAGGAAGGTACTTGAGGGTAGAGAGATGAGCCCGGAAACAGCCTAGAAGCTGTAATGAGGTGCTCCCAGATGTGGGTGTCCCAGGGCCTCTTCCAGGCACCCCCTTCTCCGCATTTTGGGGTCTCTCTTGTCTATCTTGCCAGTTCGCCAGCACATGCCTGTCCCAGGGAGCCGCTTTTTGTCCGGCCGCGGTGGACAGGCCTCTCGGTCATCTTTGGGCCCCAGAGTATATGTGTGTGGGTGGGGGGAAATTAGGCCTCCAATGAGGATCATTCTTGTCATTCCTGGGAAGTGCTGGCAGCGAAGGACATGTCTGCCACACTCTCCGGGGAGCGAGGCAGGGAGCATAGAAAGCCAGACACGGATGGAGACAGAAAAGCAACTTGGGCCCGAGCAGTGGCCTAGATGGGGCTCCTGGCTGTCCCGTGGGGCGCCGTCTCCCAAAGCTGCTAAACTGCTCTAGGCTGGGGTGACCCGAGGCAGACTCCTGCCAGGCCATTTGTCCCAGAAAGAAAGCAGGTGAGGGCAAGGCCTCCGGGCGCAGGGAGGACTAGAGCGGAGGGTGGCCACTGCCGATGGTTACTTCTGACAAGGGTGGTGTCCCACAGGGGCGCGCGGCCCTGTGGTGGCCAGAAGGGCGGCAAGGACGCTCAGGGAAGCACAGTTCACGGCCGGTCGGGGCCATCCGCCCTGGCGTGAGGGCTCAGGTGCTCCGTGTTAGCGTCGCTGTGGCCACGGCACGACAGGCAGTTGGGAAAGGGGGAAAAGATACTGCCTGAGAGAAAAACTTGGCATCCACAGTGGGCACAATGGGCTGAGCAACCGGCCCGTTGTGTTTCCAGGGCCGCCCGCCTCTGCCACCCGGCTGGCACTAGCTGCCTTTCGGGCATCGAGAGCTGACCTGCTGGGGCCGGGGGAGATGGGCGCGGGGGACTCCTGCCTTCCCTGATAACACCAACCTGGGCCGTGCTGATACACTGTCCCTGCCCGTTCAGAGCTGACTTGACCACACCCCGGGTCAGCACGAGCACCGGCCCCCGTGTGGTCAGAGGCTGGGTCCTCACATCTGCTTTACCTGCTCTCCCTGGGGAGCCGGCACCGGGCCCCGTGCCCGGCCCCGACCTCAGGCCTTGCTGGGTAGGGGTAGGACCTGGCCCTCTGTCCAGTATTTGGCCAGCAGCTCTCAGTCTGAGGGAGGCGGGGCTTGCCGGGGGAAGTTGGAGAAGGGCCTCGGGTGGCAAGCTGCTCCCGGCCCGGCCCTCGGCATCATCCAGTGGAGGCGAGCTGGGCCAACACGAGGGGAACCCGCGAACCCCTGAAGGAGTAGGGAGAGGGCCAGGCTGGTGCGGCCTCGCCATTCTCCACAGCTGTGGGCGGGCGATGAGTAGCCACCGCCGCCGCCTTGCCGGAAACGTCTAATTAGGGGACAGAGAGCAGCACAAGCAGGGCCCGACCAGTTCTGCTTCCTGTCTCCGGCCACCCAGTGACACCCAGTGACAGGAGCGGCATGCCCTGAGCACGCCCTGTGCGTGCGGCCGCGGCACGGCCACGCTCCCGGGGGTGGCGGGAAGACAGGTTTGGCGGGGTGGACGGGATGAGGCAAACGTCCCCACCCTGGCAGCCGAGTGGCGGTGCGTCCGGCCTCCCCTGCCCCTGGCTCAGGGTAGAGGCAGCTCCGAGGCCAGACCGGGCAGGCTCGCTCCCTGTCCCCAGTTCCCCAGCGCCGACATTGCCAGGCTTCTGTGGAACGGAAGAGGCGGGGGCAGGAAGCGGGTGTTCTCCCAAACCGGCCTGGACCCTTGGAACCCTAGCCGTGAACACCTCACCGCCACCCCCTCAGTGGAGCAAGGGAGCCAAAGTGACAACTCACTTTGAGCACGAACAAACTGGTTAGCCCTCACCTGCCGTCACTCCTCCCTCGGCCGCTCCTTGTGCAGGCGGTGTGGCCGGGCTCCAGCTTTCAGGAGCCTCACTCAGGCTATGCGATACCGAGAGACAGAAGAGGGTAGAGGTTTCTGTTTGTCTCTACCTGGATTGAGAAATGGAAATTGTCATTCAGCTTTGAGTTCTTGGCCAAGATCTCCGGTGGCTGGTAAACCGGCATCAGAAGGGGAGGGGTAGACACACCCCTGCCCTCCCCCAGCCCCCCTCCTGTGCACACAGACAGCCAGCCAGCGCTGTGGGCAGGCCGGAGGGACCCCAAGAGCTCGGGCCTGATGTCCAGCCTCCCGGCGTCCGGAGAGAGGCGCCACGCCAGCTCAGAGGCCAGGCCAGGGCCAGGCACTGGTGAATCAACTCCCGGAATGAGGTGGCTCATCAAAGTCCCCTGGACAGGCAGACGCCAGTGCCAGCAGAACGGGTTCTGGGCGGCAGGCGGGCACATTCTGCCCTTGTCAGACCTTTGTTGTGTTTTGAGGGGGCGAGAGCCAGGGCCTCTCCCGAAACTTGGGTGCTTTCATATTCACCCTTCCTCCATCAGTACGTTCCTCTGCCTTCCACCTCCAGCCTTGCCTGCGGTGTCCCGGGAGAAGACGGGAGGGCAGTGGCCCTCCTGCCCTGGGACCACCCCTCCCTCCCTGGGTCCTGGTCCTCTCTGTCTCACCAGCTCTGGGGCAGGGGGTGCTGAGGGCCTTGTTTGTGTCTGAGACCTTGACTCAGCCTCCTGAGTCCTTCTCCCTGAAGACCTTCGTCCTTTCCTTCCTTTACCCTTCTTGACCTTTCCTTTTGAAGCTTGGAAAATGTTCCTAGCTTTTGGGCTTTAAGCAGAGCTGACCCTTGAACAACAATGTGGTTTGAACTGCACGGGCCCACCTCTATGTGGATTTTTTTCTGATAAATACAGTACAGTGAATGCATTTTCCCTTTCTTTAAATTTTTTTTTTAACATTTTTTCATTTTTAAGAGTGAGAGAGACAGAGCATGAATGGGGGAGGGGCAGAGAGAGAGAAGGAGACACAGAGTTCGAAGCAGACTCCAGGCTCCGAGCTGTCAGCACAGCGCACGACGCGGGGCTCGAACTCATGGACCGCGAGATCGTGACCTGAGCTGAAGTCGGACTCAACCGACTGAGCCACCCAGGCGCCCCTGCATTTTCCCTTTCTTACCGTTTTCTTACTAACACTTTTTTCCTCTGGCTTACTTTATTGTTATAATACATGTAACCTACAGAATGTGTGTTAGTCAACTGTATCTCTTATCGCTAAGGATTCCGGGCTATGAGTAGTTAAGTTTTGGGGGAGTCAAAAGTTCTATTCGGACTTTTGACCGTATGGGGGGGG